TTATATGCAACATATCCCTGCTTTGGTAACAGAATATTCTGACTATATTTTATACGGTTCTTGATTGTAGGCAAAATTTCTTTTTCTTTTTAAGTACAGTCAGTCATTAGGAATATCAGTTATGGTATTGCATTAGAGATACAGCCATGGATACATAAGGTATGAGTGCTGAACCTTCACTGTGCCCCTGAACAAGAGCTTAAGGGGGTGGCTATTTTCCCCCTTTGGCATTGACCTCTAGTAAACTTACAGCAAGGACTTACACTTTTCTTCCTGGGGTTTCCTACTCTCCCCACCCTCTTTTGCTCCAGAATTACATAATGCAGAGCTTCAGGACTGATACATTTTTAGCAGTGAAAGCATAAAAAGTTACCATTCTCCAGATTGCAACTTTTCAGCATATTTTTCCACGTGCAAACTCCTCTCTGTACCTACTACTAGATGACCTCATAACTGCTTTTAACCCCTAGAGGAGACATAGAATATACAAGTACAGTGTAACTCAGAGAACGGACTCTGGGACAGACTGCCTGGGTTCAAATACCGCTTTAAAAAGATACTTAGCCATGATCCATATCATAGAGAATAAACATATGACGGTACTTCAAAAAAATGTACAAAAAAGAAAAGATAGGTTGGAGTAGGTATTTGGTCTGGCATTTCAGATGCCAGTTAAGATACCTACATTTTGGGGTGGTGCTGTGGCATAGAGGGTAAAGCCACTGCCTGCAGCACCAGCATCCCATATGGGCTCTGGTTCGAGTCCCAGCTGCTCCACTTCCAATCCAGCTCTCTGCTGTGGCCTGGGAAAGCAGTAGAAGATGGCCCAAGTGCTTGGGCCCCTGTACCCATGTGGGAGACAAGAAAGAAGTTCCCAGCTCTGGATCGGCTCAGCTCCAGCTGTTGCAGCCATTTGGGGAGTGAACCAGTGGTGGAAGACCTCCCCGCCCCCCCCCCCCCGCCTCTCTGTAATTCTTTCAAGTAAATAAATAAAATCTTAAAAAAAAAAGACACCTACGTTCCATATCACATTTCCTGAATTCAATTCCTGGTCCAGGCTCCTGACTCTAGTTTCCTGGTACTGCAGACCCGAGGAGGCAGCAGTAATGGCCCATGTAATTGGGTTCAGGTCATCCCTGTGGGAGCCCTATCCCTAGCCCCAGTCCAGCCATGACCTTTGTAGGTATTTGGGAAGCGAATCCGTGGATGGGAGGTCTCTTAGTCTGTCAGTTGGTCTCTACCTCACACACATTCTCTCTCATCTCTCAGCCTCTCAAATTAATTTTTTTCAGATGAGTCTTTTGGTGTAAAACATTTTTGAAATCAGTTTTCTTCAGAATCCATTTTCCATGAAATTTCTGAAGACCTTTCATAGTAACATCACAGGGTTACTGAGTGTTAAAGAGTTTATATTTACAAAGTGCTCAGAACATGGCTTGGCACATGGACTATTAAATAAGCAAGTTAAATGCTGTAAACCTGAACTCTATTGCTGTCTTCCTTGTCTCTTAAAACTGTTCCAGCAGTTCTGTGTTGGATGGTGGTTGTTCTGCTGGTGGTTCTTGGGAGAGGAGGGGCAGAGGAGACAACACTTAGGGACCACAACACTCCTCCCCACTGCTGGGGAGGGGAGTCTCTCTCAGAAACATAGGCAGGGGGTAGGGGCACTCAACACTGCTCTGTTAGCCATGTTAGGCAGGTGGAGAAAATGGGGCTGCTTATTTAATCAGCATAACAGGAATCAAGGGACCTGTGTGACTGCTATTTAAATATAAACCTATCTATATAGGTACAGCTATAGATATATATTTGCAGGATGGATGGATGGATCCATCGATCGATCAATCGATCATCTGCCGGGCTGGGCTCTTCTGTGGAACAGTTCTAGGCTCCCCATCACTGAACATGTTGAAGCAGAGTATTGGTGGCCAGGTGTCAAGGATGCCGCATCAAAGAATCTTTTAATTTAGAGTCAGCTCATTCAAGATTCCTCTTGGATCTACAATCTTGAAAATCCTAGTGTGAGTCAACCAAGAGTTACAAGGCGTGAGTCACGCAAGGCCAGCGCCTGCTGCAGGCGCTGCATTCTTACCTCCCCACAGTGCTTGGCAGGCACCTCCTGCATCCAGGTGAGGAATCCCAGCCCTCGGGCTGTGAACAACCCAGCACGAAGTAACAAAAACTTTCCAAAACGAAGCTGGCCAGTGAGCTGGTTCCCGCTCTGGAGTTACTACAGGTAAGTGCAATAATTCACACGGCCCCAGATGGGTCGTTGGGAAAAGGCATCTGGACTCACTTCGTGGCCGGACAAAAGCAGACACACGTGGGCAGGCAGGTTAAGGGGCAGGGGCCTGGGCCGGGAACCGGTGAATCGGAGCTGCAGGAGCCAGCACACGGCGGAGAGAGGGACAAAGGCCTCAGGAGAGCGCGCGGCACTGAGAGGCCGGCGGCAGTGCCCTGGCCGCTAGCCGGCCCGCCGGGTTCCAACTGGAGATGCGAACGGGCGACGACAGTAGGCTGGGGAGCGGCCACTAGGAGGACGCTGGGGTCCCTGCGGCTAGACTGTGCCGCTCGCCCCGCGAAGCAGCGTCCTCGGCCGGCGCAGATGGGCGCCGGGGCCCAGGGCGGGCAGCGCACCTGCTGGGCTCTCCCCTCCACCCCACAGCCCCCGCTCTCCGCGCGCTGGGTCACGCCGCCGCCGAGTCTCGGAGGGCCCATTCCCCCTACGCCTCGGAGAGGTCCGCACCCTGGTTCCAGGGACCGACACCCACGCCGCAGCGCCGACGCGGGATGCCGGGGGGGCCGGGTCGTGGGAGCAGCCGCCGCCATAGCGGGCCGCGGCGGGAGGGAGACCAGGAGCCGCTCGGGCGCGCGCCACTCACCTGAGAAACCAACGGGAGCAGCGTCTGCTCCACCGAGCGCGTTTTGATCTCGAGTCCCGAGTCGAAGGCGAAGCCCGACGGGCTAGAGCCGTGGACAGCTCCGGCGCCGCCAAGGCCGGCGGACCCAGGAGAGGCGGCCATGGTCCTCGGCGCAACGCGCAACCCGGACTCCGCGCCACTGCTGGCCCTCTGGCCGCCAGCACGCCCGTCAGCCGCAGCGCACCCGCGCCACCCGAGGCCCCGCCCTGAAGCCCCGCCCCTGCCTCAGGCCCGCCCACCACACCCAAGAAAGGCCCCGCCCACATTCGGCCCAATCCCGTCTACCCTCCACCCGAGGCCCCGCCCCCACCTCGACACCGCCCACCAGGGCCCTCCCACCCCGCCTACCCGGCCCCGCCACGCCCCTGCGTGCTGCTTCTAGGGTCGCTCTCCGGGGCCGGGTCTGCTGGCCTTATGGCTCCACCACAGGCACTATGGCCCCTCTCTCTACCCTAGGGGAGGCTCAGAGCACCTGTCGCCAGGGTAGGGAGAGAAAAGATGACACCTGGCTACGGGCCTCTCACCTGGACAAGAACAGCCATCCCTGTCAAGTTACCTCTTGGTCTGGAAAGGTGACTCTTCCTAAATTAATCTGAATTTCTGCAATGTTCTGGAAGCTGCACTGGGGTTGAACCCGCATAGCAGTCAGGTCTGCGGGGTCCCAGGCGGGAATCTGGATGATTTTCCTGGGGCTTCTCCAGAAGCTCCATTCTCCTCTACCCCCGGCTCATTTTCTAAGCACATTTCTCACAACACACTTTGAGCTGGGTTGAAAATGAAACATTTGATAATGCACTCACTCAAGGAATGTCTGGGTACTCAAGAAGACAGTGTATCTTTCAGGCTGCTGCTTAGACTTAACTCTTTAAAAGGGAATTTAAATTAAAGTGAATTTAAAATAAAACTACTGTTCAACAATACTACTTTTTGAAACTACTTTTCACGGAGGCAGTTTCTTAATAACTGTTCATTGAATGGAAACATCGTGTCTATTCTTTTTTTTAAAGGACTGCTTTTTTTTTTTAAGATTTTATTCATTTGAGAGGTAGAGTTACAGACTTTGAGAGGGAGAGACAGACAGAAAGGTCTTCCTTCTGTTGGTTCACTCTGCAGATGGCCGCAACGATTGGAGCTGCACTGATCCAAAGCCAGGAGCCAGGAGCTTCTTCCCAGTCTCCCACGCAGGTGCAGTGGCCCAAAGACTTGGGCCATTTCTACTGCTTTCCCAGGTTATAGCAGAGAGCTGGATTGGAAGTGGAGCAGCCGGGACTAGAACTGGTGTCTACATGGGATGCCAGTGCCGCAGGATTAACCTACTGCACCATGGCACCGGTCCCCAAGTGTTTATTTCTGACTGAACTCACCAGCCAGGCTAGGAATCTGTGTTCTCCAAGCACAACCCTGAGCTTACGTGGGTTTCCAGGAGCCAAGTGAAAAGGAAGGTGTCAGAAGCATGTGCCTTGTGAAGGAGTCCTAGACTTATGCAAGGGGCAGAAACCTGAAGAAATGTTTTGTGAAGTTCTGTATCTGCCAATGAGAACCCATCAGAGCAGACAGCAGGCTGAGAGTGGCTGGCCCACCCTAACACCTTGGCAAGATCATGTCTATGTCGTTACTTTCAAATTGATTGAGCTGGTGACTGTCCACGCGAGGTGTCACTAAGCTCTTTGAAATTGGCGAAACGTGCTTTGTGGTGCTTCCATTTGGCAGCTCAGTTTCACCCCCCAGAGCTGCATGGGTAGCTTTGGTCCTGAAGATAGCCACACTGAGGCTTGCTTATCCTTAATTCAACTTTCCTCCAATTCTTAATCCTCAGTCATCCACCTGAGCACATCCTTCCCCCCAAGGCTCCTGCTGCCCGTGCATTGAGGGCTTCCGCTTCAGCCATGGACCTGCTGGCCTCTTTAAGATACTCAGCATTCACTCCCCAGACACACCATGGCTTACAGAAGTGGAATATACTGCATAAAAATTCAGTGCAGGCATCAAGAGGAAAAGGTAAGGGACAGATGAATGTATTCATCGAAGTTTGGCTACAGATCACGTTTCTCAACAGATAAAAGACTGTTTACCACCTGATTCATTCGACACCAGTAATTTTATTTCAAAATATAAATACTTTACATTTACAAAGAAGTTACATTAGTAGGTTGTCAAAGCAAGTTAAAGCTAAGAAACAGTATTCTGTGTAGGAATATTTATGGTTGTATTGGAATATTCTTTTTCATTTTTAAACCATGTCTTTTTTGCCTGAGTATATAGAGACGATAGATTTTCAAAGAGGTACATAAGAAATTACAAGGGCATATCCAATTTTGGTTTTAAAATCAAATGGTATTTGAAATACATGCCAATCACTTAATCAAGTGCCATTACAAAGGACAAAGAAGAGTTTTCTTTGGGACAGCTACAACAAGAGTTACACTTTCTGGGTCACTGCACTACTGAAAAAAATGATGTTTGGTAATAAGCCAAAATGATTTTCCTCTAAGATCTGCCTCCATGCCTTTGAAAAACACAAAGTTAGATAATAAGAAGCCAAGTGAGGAGCAAAGAACTTTGGACCTGGAGTCAGAAGTTCTGCAAATTCTGGCCCCATCATTTTGTTGTATAAGTTTGGGAGAAAAAAAAATCACAAAAATACACTTTCAGAGCCTCCAGTGCCTCATCTGTACGATGAGAATAATACTGCCTATCACACAGGGTTGTCACCAGAAAAAGTCTGAGAAGTATAAAGTGCCGTACAAAAGCATTACTAAAATGTGGTGTCAATATATCACCACTGTATCTGCACACTAAGTTTCCTTGAGAAACTTGCAAAACTAAACACAAATACTGATTTTACATACCATAGGTGGAAAACAATCTCTATACTTCTTAAAGTATAGTTCTGAACAGGAAACATACTTTCTGGTATCTTACGAAACTCTGAGACTGACTACAGATTACACGTAGCTCAGTAGTAAATTCACACCTTTGAGAAGTTCCATTAGGGATGTCTTCTAAGAGAGCTGTAAACCTGATGAACAGCCAGGTTTCCCAGAGGACCTGTAGCATTTTGAGATGCTCTGAGAAAAGGAGGAGGAGGGGCACCCATCTAAATCAACAAAGTCTTTGTCCCCTCTTAAAAATTCTCCAGGTATAACAGCAAGTCAGAAACTCCTAGAAGTGCTACAGAAACAAACCCAGCATTCTGCAATTTTATCATGGAATCCCTGCCCGCCCCCACACACATTATTTCCTCTTACATCTATGAACATTTCTTAGAACTACTGCTATAAGAAACACATTTTGCCAAAAGCTGCTCAATTGTGAGGAAAAGTAAAGAGAAGTGGAACAGCCAGCCAAGAGAGGAAAGACCTGCACTCTACTCTGAATTCTGTTACTAACTGGCTGTGTGTCAGACAAGCCACTGGAACCTACGAATTTGTTTCCTTCTCTAGAAAATGATAGGCTCTCTTAATTATAAAGCAGCCCAGTCTGGTACAGAAGTTTTGTGACCCCAGTAGACAGAAGGAACATCTTGATTTAGAAGTCTGTTGTTTCTAAACTATCAAAAAATAACTGCTCAGTGGCTTCAGACACTCTATCTTCTACAGGTTCTCATTAATAAGTTTAAAAAATGAAATCTATGTTGATAGTACAATGTGTAAAGATGAGAAACTGATAAAATAGGTATTTGTTCTTTGCTGAAACTCGCATTTGGGAGTATGCTGCCAGAGGTTACTTCCACTGTGGAATGTGCCCTCAGAGTCCTATTGCGTTAATACTCTTGCAAGGGTTTTTGGGAGACCCTCCAGAAGAGCCTGCAAGGTCAAGTCCAGGATATGGACAATCCTAAGGGGTTTTTCCCTATAAACTCTGGATAACACACCTAAGCTACTCTGCTCTAATCTAATACCCGAGGCCTGGATTTCTGAGTATTTCTTGACAAATTCCTGAAGCACTAAAACAACTAGAGGTACTTGGAAGTCCTGGAGGTCACAATGGGCTAGCCAGAAGACCTCATGGACAAGCTGTTTAACAGGCCTTCAGCTGGAATAAGCAGCTGCTATTTGCAAAGGCTGCACAGTTGCTTAAATACAAGATCTCCATGTAGCATGTCTCAGGTATCCTCCCCCTGCCAAAGGTCAACCCACACAGGTCTCAGAAGTCAAGGAAAAACTCCACCAGCTCACCGCCTCTCAGGGGAGAGGGCATTAGCAAGCCTCCCGGCTTTCACAATAAGGCTGGCATCTGAGGCAGCCCCAGAGATCACTTCCAGGAACACAGTGTGTGACAGGAATTCTGGAACTCATACAAGACTCACATGACATGGAGTTTATGTTGAAAAATCCCATGCATGTCTAGTGGAGACCTTGCGTCTCCTACCCCCGACCCTCTCAGTTTACAACCAAACGGTAAATGTGAACTTGAAACTAATCTAAAGGAAATCCACAAAGTGCAAGATATTGGGAAAAGCTATCTGTACTCATTTTCTACTGCAGCTAATCAGTGCTTTTGTCTGTTCTTAGCGACTCTTTCAGAGTTGAGTTCTGAGACTCAAGAGAGGTTATCTCGAGCTTAAGACTCTCAGCTTTTCATACCAGCTGGTCTGTCTGCCCTATGGAAATTCTGTAAAAATCTCCTCACCAAATTTGAAGGGGTGTCCTGGGTTGCTTCTCTCTGGTTCTGAGGGTCCCAGGAAGATCCCTAGAGCTGGTGGGCCTTCCTAGTCCTCATGCTGTTGCTGTCGCAAGGGAGAGTTCATGCTTCCTGAAGAGGACTAGGTAGCACCCTGGGGCAGCTCTGCTCCTGAGAGTTCAGGGTGATGTCACATTACTGCTGGTAATTTTGGCAGCTCTACTCTATTCTCTCAGAGCTCAGAGTTCCCCTCTAAAAACCTAGTACTCTTACTAATAATTATCCCAGCAACAGCCACACATTAGCTCAAGCTGAGATTCTTGCAGTCTCAGTTTACACAGCTAAGCACAGTTTGGAGGAACATAATTTGTATGTGCCCACTAATTCATTGTGAGCATAATACTTAACTCTTATAAACATGTGCTAATTACAGCTATAAAGGTAGCAGTATATAATTAACAAACATGACCTTGATTTTTTTTTACCCCTGTAATGCAAGTATTTTTAATACAGAATTACACATGATCCGGCTAAGACTTAAGGTGAGAGAGGCCTTCTGAGTTCTCTTCTAAGCACCCTGCACTGTCTCTGGAGTTTACAAACTCCCAAGAAGTATTTCAGTGAATGAATCAGTGGCTGAGGAACTGATCTAAGAGGGGAATGGGTCACTTGGGTGCCAAATCTACTACCTGGAGGAACAGATTACACATGCTGAAAGATTCATAGTAAAAATAAGAGATCTGCATGTGCTCTATTGCATAACAGTCAAAATATCCCCATGACGATCTTTGCAAAATGGAGTTTTTTCTTTAGTATAGGAACACATGTAACCTAATTATTAAGCTAATTACTATTAACTTCCTAGTCAGAAGGTATTTAAGAAAACAATTAGTTGTATTTGTAAATGTTTACCAAAAAAAAAAAAAAAAAACTTCAATACTTAGGAACCCCTGCTCCTCCAAAATCCCTTAATAACAGAAGGGCCTGATGATTGTTTCCAACAGGGCAAAGGGCACAGAACTAAGAGCCGAGCTGGATTCTAATCCCAGCTCTGTCATTTACTGCAGGACAAGTGCTCATTCATAACCAATTCTATCTCATGCCATTGGGAAAACTGCATAAGACATAGGAGAACAAAGTTTGCAGGCTGTGGAGTCAGAAAAATCTAAATCTTATTGAACTTCATGAATTTGCTTTGGTCACTTTCTGAAGCTTAGCTTACCCCTTAGTGTGAAACTGTTGCAAAATAATTTAAAGCCACATGAAAGCTGATGTGAAGTGGTTGTGAAATAATATGTCCAAAAGGACTTTATAAAATGTAAAGCACTGTGCTGGTTATTGTTATATCTGAGACATTTTCAAAGCTACAATTCAATTCGATAAGAGTTGTATGTGCAAGACACTATGCTAAGTGATGGAAAAATACTGCATAAATATAAAATTCTACTGCTAATAGGTAACTATTTGGCAGAGTTCCAAATAATGATAATGAGATACGATTAACAAATCAAAGTACTGCTACACCTGAGAGTTTTTAACATTTGGAAAGAAAACACTTAAAGACAGCATGAATTCTATCACATTATTAGCATTCATAGCAGCTTAATAAGAATTTTACTTCAATGTGGTCATCCAAGTTTTGAAATTTTGGCAATAGTGTAGTGGGGAAAGGAGGGAGGAGAAAGGAGGAAGAGTTTCTCAGTCTTTCTGTGTCTCCTGTGGGTACAACATATACCTGGAACATCAGTAAGCTACCTCACCCTACAATGAAGAATTGTTCTTTCTTAAAGAAGGGATGATACATTGTGCAAGAAGGGAGGAACTGAAAAGTGAAAGTCCTCTTCACTGAAAAGTGGCTGTTATAGAAAAGTTTAAGAATAGATCTCTTAAAGCAAGAGAAAACTCCATTGTATATATTATTTTTAACAGCAGGTAGTTCAGAGTTCTTAAAATAACTTCATAAATACCTATTACAATCATACAGATAACCAAAGTGGGAAAACCTCAAGCCATAGTCCCAGTGTATAAACTGAAACTTTTCAAGCCATTTAGCAACAGTTAGGAGAGCAAACCACATTTCTGAACTCTCAAGCCGTGCTTTAAAATGCAGAGCAGCCCACAGCAAGTTCTCTCTTGTCCAGGCATTGTGTGCGCAAGGCCGGAGGCTTCTGCTGCTTCCAGCGCCCTTGCTTGCGAGGCACAGCTGACAGAAGGCCAGGGCTGAGCAGAACTCACTGTCAGGGTGGAACTTCTAGAGAATCACTGCAGGGCAAACCATGTCAGTCTGTTGAAGATTTCAGATCTTCAGAAATATCACGGAAAGTCCTGAGAGAAGAGAAGAGGGATCAGTTTTGCTTTTAGAAAAGGAGGGAGGAAAACACAAAACCACAGAGATACAAAATAAATAAAACCAAAGAAAAAAAAAACAATTTTAAAAGCATGTAAACAATAATATATTCCTACCCAACAATACCTTTTTATAAATCTTTGAGATCTTAATAACATTATCTATCTATTGTTTCTTGGCATTTTCACTGAGTATTGTTTCATTGTCTTCTGGTTGTCACCTATTCTTTATTAACAAGAATCCCAGTTTTTAGCTGGGTCTATTGTCTCCGATCCAAAAGACTATTTCTGCAGACTCCTTAAAACTACAGACACCCTGGGAGTGGTTTCAACCAATGAGACGTAAGTGCATCTTCTGGGCAGTTCCTAAAGGAGAAGAGCAGCCTTCAGCTCTTCCACCTTCTTACAAGCTGGAAAGTGGATATGATGACGATAAAGAGGAAAAAACACTAAGAAATCAAAGATTAAATGCTAGCTGGGTACATTTTACGATAATGTAGGAAAGGTGGCTGAGCAGAGTCTGAGCTCTCAGGGACGTGACTGAGAGCAGGAACAAGGGATGGGATTTTTTTTTTTAACCAAACGACCTTGTACATGTAATGTTTCTGACCCACAGCACACACGCAAGGTGAATGATGCTAACTGGCAGCTGGATGCAGGTGGCCTTCTGTGCACATGAGGTGCCTGCCTCAGGACTGCAGCCGCTGGCTCGCCTCTGCTGCACGATTTACATGCCTGAGCTGGGCTGTCACCTCCTTAGCTTTACAGCTGAGTTTATCAATGAACATGAGCTACAGCAACCATATTAGACAAAAAGGCCTTACACTAAGACTTGCACATCAGGATGGAGACAGGTTGGGCCCAGACATCTGTAGAACAGTTTATTATTTCTGGATTTCTTTTACCCAAGAGGGAAATCAACTGCTAGCTCATTTCAGACACTGTTCCTTTGAATTCTACTGATGTTGGGTTTTACATTTGTTGGTCCCTGGGTTTGTTATGTACAGCCAAATCTACCTTAAATAATATAGATACAAAACCCAGTTTATTACCATTCTTTGGGATAAGTTATATTGCTTCTTTATAACACCACCACCAATTAAGAATACAAAAAAGTATTTGACCTTAAAACATCTGCATTTTTTCAAAACAATTTTAATGCCTTCAAATTTGGCTTCTAGCCATATTACTATACTATGTTGTTCCTTCTTAGACTTTGTTGTTAATCACAGCCAAATAAAGCTGATTTTATTTTCATACTGGTAACTGAGTATTGGTAATTATCAGTCAATTATTCAGTTTCAATTTTTCATTAGGAAGAGAGCTAAGATCAAATAAAGTAAATGTTGCAAACTTCAGGGAACAGTTGCAGAAACAAAAATGGCAGAAAGTTTTCATTGTGTACAATCACCTAAAAACGCACGAGGGACAGGAACAAGAGGGTAGGATTTTTTTTAAACCAAATGACCTTGTACACATTACACATGTAATGTTTCTGACCCACAGCACACAAGCGAGGTGAATGACGCTAACTGGCAGCTGGATGCAGGTCTGCTACAGAAGAGCTATTCAAGGATGCTCAACTGTCTTAAGAACAGAGCCCGGGAAAAAAAAAAAAAAAAAGGCCGGCGCCGTGGCTCACTAGGCTAATCCTCCGCCTTGCGGTGCCGGCACACCCGGTTCTAGTCCCGGTGGGGGCGCCGGATTCTGTCCCGGTTGCCCCTCTTCCAGGCCAGCTCTCTGCTGTGGCCAGGGAGTGCAGTGGAGGATGGCCCAAGTGCTTGGGCCCTGCACCCCATGGGAGACCAGGAGAAGTACCTGGCTCCTGGCTTCGGATCAGCGCGGTGCACCGGCCGCAGCGCGCTGGCCGCGGCGGCCATTGGAGGGTGAAACGGCAAAAGGAAGACCTTTCTCTCTGTCTCTCTCTCACTGTCCACTCTGCCTGTCCAAAAAAAAAAAAAAAAAAAGAATAAATTCAAAATATAACTTAAAAAAAAAAAAAAAGAACAGTGCCCGGGGCCTCCTGGGCCTCTAGGCAGGTACTGCTTTGAGAAACAGGTGAGCTTCACAGCCTTGGCTCCTGAGGCACTGAAGGGCTTTGTGCATTTGTGACATCACCCACCATCTTGAGAACATGCTGGCAGGTCTAAGAACTGACATGAATTTTGCTTCTTTGAACATTATTATGTTCTGAAGAAAATGTCCAAAAATGAAGATCTGTACATACACACTCATGTTTATATGCACTGGTATCTATATTGCTGCGTTTGTGGGTTATAATTTTTTCAGCAACATCCCTAAGCTCTGTCTGCTACCGTTGTGACAATCAAAATGTTTCCACCCTTGGCTAACTGCCTGGGAAGAAAGATCACCCCAACTCCTGCGAGAACCATTCCTATAGACACCTACTTTTATTATGCCTCAGTTTTTCACAGTCTTACCCAACTTTATATTTTCACACATATATAGGCAAAGCTGGCTACAAACTATCTCAGACCATACAAATTTCAAGTAGCACTCAATTCTGGAAAGCCTCAGAAAACCTTAACAACCAATAACCAAAACCTGGCTATTCTACAAAGCATTTTCCAATACCCAACAGGGTTCTTAATTCATCCTTTGACATCTTTTCAAATTTCTAAGATACTTACAAGTCTGAATCTACTTGCATAACTGTTCAACTCCTCTAAATTGTGAATGAAAATTTCTGCCTTAGGGCAAAGACACACGAAATAAGATTAAGGTTGTGGTTAGCCTGGTGACTGCTTTCTGTTGACAAGTAAGCTTAGCTGTAACCTTGAAATTCATACCTACTATTAAATTCTGCCTTCAGGCCAAGAAAGCCTCCAAAAGGACTCAGAAGAAAGAAAACCAAGTGAAGGATCTCAGAAGACAGTAACTAAGAGTTTTCCATCTCAAGGTTATCTCTAGATGGGTATGGTGTCACAGTGATAGTGGGGCACGTGTGTGTTTAAAATGCTATTGAACAAACCTCTACTTCTAGGAGAACAAAACCCATAACCTAGAACTGCAGAAATGCTCTTTCTGGCCTATTCAAGAGTCACATCTAACTAATCAGCAAAAGATCATAAAACCATAAATAACTCCCTGGGTGAAGAAGAAACAAAGAGCCAAACACTGCATTTACACTATTTCCAAGAATGTTTAATATCTCACCTAAGCTCTCAAAATACAGCATTCCTTCCCAAACCATAAAGAGCACTGTGCTCTGAGGCACCACGGCTGTCAAACTGCTCATCTAAGAATCAGCAGGGTGGAAGGGCAACACCTGCGGCTGGCATCCTACACCTCCTTTATGAGCCACGGGTACCGAGCAGTGCAGTCTCCCTCTTGCTCTGGGAAAGCAGTAGAAGATGGCCCAAGTGCTTGGGCTCCTGCACCTGCGTGGGAGACCTGGAGGAAGCTCCTGGCTCCTGGCTTTGGATCAGCTCAGCTCTGGCCATTGCGGTCATCTGGAGAGTGAACCAGCGGATGGAAGCCCTCTCTCTCTCTCTCTGGCTCCACCTTTCTGTAATTCCGTTTTTCAAATAAAGCTTTAAAAACTAAAAACATTTCATCATCTACTTCCCCCCAAGTTTCTTTTGCAACTCTTAGACCACCTCCTTCTTCCATATAAATGCTGAAATCTTTCCTAGTTTAACAACTAAGGACTTGTTGACTCCCAACAAATCTGAAATAAGATGCCAAGCTTGGGGCTTCCTATGCCTCATTCTCTTCCACTTGCAGCACTTTCTATGCATCAAACGCCCTGTTAGGAATGGCAGAACCATTCAGAACGCTTACCAACAGGTGGGAAAGACAAGGGATAGGACACACATTATTTTGAGATGCTGTGGGACACGGCAAGGGAGCCTTACCTAGGCCAGAGGCTTTCAGTAATGCTTCTCAGAGGAGGAGTACTTTGAGCACAGAACATGGCACCGGACTTTGCTATAAAGGGGGTAGCACTTTTGACAGAAGGGGGACAGGATGTGCATAGACTACACTGACTTCAGGGAACTACAAGTTCAGTATGGCCAGAAAGTAAAGTGCAAAACAGGCAGCACAGAGAGATGAATCAGCAGAGGTAGAGAGAAAGGGACATGGAAAGTCTAAAGGGCCAGATTTTAAAGTTTCAACTTTCTCTCGCAAGAGAAGCCACTGTGGGAATGTTAAGCAGCAGAGGAACCTAAGAGTTAAGCTCTGGAAAACCCAGAGAGGCTGCCCTATGGAGAACAGACAGGAGGGAAGCAAGACTAGACACAGGGAGCAACCAAAAGGCCATTGAAGAAATCCCAGCACTGGGTCACATCACTGGGAAGAAAGAGGAACAGATCCATTAACATTTTAAGTAACAGAGTTTTTAAGCCAGCAGAGAAAGAGTGAAACAGTGTCCCTTCCCAAGCCCAGTTGTCTCCCCTTTTCCCTCTCCCCCTCATTATTCTAACTGGATTCACAGGGAGTACACTTCACTGAAATGCTTCAGGCTAACATAAAGGATGCTCTTTGGAGAACATCTTCCCTATCTCATTTTGCAAAGACAAAAATCAATTTTAACTCTATAAAGTAGAATGTTCTAAACCTTAATTAACCATTTTTTATAAAAAGAATCTTACTTTTGATTGAACACTGAGTAATTATGAAAAATATTCACAGCCAGGTTAAGACAATGTTTCCCAAAATGGTAGGAACTAACAACTCTCCCCTAGAGAGAGTTAAAGCTGAATTCCTAAAGGACCACAGTGCAGCTGTTGCCCTCAGGACTGTCACGGTGAGAGAAGGCAAAGGAAGACTTGAATACAGGAAAGAGCACTCCTGGATCTCCCTCCAGGTTTTTCTAAACTTTAATATTCAGAGATCGCCGCTCATTGTTGGGTAGGAGTGAAACGCATACATCCGATCAAGTCTGAGTTCCTGTCCAGGAGTCAAGAAAGATACATGACTACAGAAGCGATTTTGCCTATCCTTACACCCCTTGC